CATAAAGCACTAGCAKTTTTTAGATTGTTTTATGTAAAGAATTGCATCCATATAAAGAATGTGACTGTGCCACTGACTGATCTTATAAAGCTTAAATGCATTAAAACATGAAATAAACAGTTTATTAATTGGTTTAGAAATTTAAAGCCTATGTAGGGTGTGAACAATAATAAATTATTTAAAATGCTGGATTTTGACTTCAAAGTTCTCTGGGGGGTTTTTGCCACAGTATTTATTAACAATGCCTGCAGTTGTCTGTTTTTATCACTAGGGGGACACAGTTCATGGCAAATTCAGGCATTTGTGGGAAAACAGGACTCTTTGCACTGATAGTAAGAATGTAGTGCATTGCTACATAGATATTTTCATTTGAAGAACTCTTTACAACACAGAGCTGTTGGGATTTTGGAAGTGAAAAATGACGTACCTGTCGCGCCTCATTATCATACGAGTAGCTTCAGTCAAACAGTCAGACTGTGAGTGTTTGCTTGGGGGACAGGCAGACATCAGTGATGTGCCAATGTTTCTGTGCACCAAACTCCAAATGCAAACAGTTTTTGGGATGTGTGTATGCATATATAGGCACAGTATTTGCCTCATCTATTTCACAAAGAGGCTAAATGAATTCTGTCTGGCACTGAATGTCTATTGGGTAGTGTTAATGTGATAGCAGAGATTAGCATTGTAATCCATTTAGCATAGAGCAGCTAATCCACTTTATTTTTTGTTAAAAAGGAATCAGATAATATTGGCTAGCACCAGTGTAGCTGCCTTATTGATTTAAGGCTGATGAGTAATTACTTTAAGACATACTGTATTATAAATGCTCCTGATAATGGTTATTAGTGTCATAACAAAACATTATTTCATTTTACTTTAAGTCACTGGAATCAAATTCCTGAGTTTAATGCATTTTTAGAAGGTTTTTTTTGTGCTTTTGCAATAGCAAAAATCCTGTGGATATACTTAATTTAGTGTAGTTTAAACATTGTTTTCGTTATTAATTGGAGACGATACTGTTTTTTTTATTTGTTAATTAATTTACCTAAATGCTTTTTGAGATTTTTGAAAACTCATAGCATCACCTGTTCAGTGTGAGTGTAAAATGAAGTACTTTATAATCAGAGCCTAAATTATTGGCAAATGGTTTTGCAAAAAAGGATTAAAATAGAAACCTTGTGTGTTTACCTTCTGTCCCAGTGTGATTTAACTAGCCAGCACTGCATGCTTGTGGACATGCTGTGCTCTCCCTGGTGGCTCATTTGTTTTGTTGGTGGTCAGATCCAGGGATGATATACAGGAGCTTCCCCTTGAAGCTTCTTCTCCCCGGTGACTGTGGATCTGTCCCAACACGATAAAACTCTATACTCATCCACAGATAGAAACTGTCAGCCCTTAAACTCTATTCAACTGTTGACTCAGCACTTTGTCACATACAGTGGAGGTAAAATGATACATCTTTTCATGAATCCACATAAATTGACATGCAGTGTTCTGTGAGCATATGCACCTAAAATGAACCCACCTGATAGGCCAGATTAGATAACCCCACCTGCTGAATCTGGCCTTGGCTTGCGCAGAACTTTCTTTCTTCTAGCCTCCGTCTCTTATTTCCCTCTCCTATCTGCCTTCTGTTCTTTTCTTTGCAGCTGACCCCAGTGCATACAATGACTCCCAGTGGAAGTGTGTCAGGCTTTGATAAAAGAGAACTCAGGGTTCTTTGAGAGCAAGGTCACTACCTCCTCCAAGCAGGAGGCAGAGCTGGAGTGGAAGAATGGCTGAGAAACAAATAACAATGAAGACTAGGGTGAAATTGGGGTGAACGACAGTGCCTGTTTAAAGAAATGTCATGTTGTGAAACTGAATATCTGAGGGAACAGCAGGGAAGGACTATTTAAACTTTACCCTGTTTACTTCTGATTCTCTGTTTGCTGTACAGCAGTTTATTGTTTAGTAAAGTTCAGTTCAGTTAGACAATAAACGCCAGCAGATTTTTTTGTGCCTTATTGAATGGAGTGAAGTTGAAATCAACCTGAACAATCTTACTATGAATAACTTGCATACTTTGAGAAACGAGTATGAATTTCTGACGCACAAAATATTTAAACAATTTAGTTTGGAAGCTTTTGTATATTTTTATAAAACTCACAACTTTTTTAAACATCAAAGCATCTGATGTTTAAAAAAGTATCTTGACCTGAAAAGACCTGTGATTTACCAGTAGGGTTTTCTTTTTGCGAAATGCTGACAGAGGCAACAAAGAGAGTATGTTATCATAAGCTTATTATAATTAAACAAGAAGTGACTCACCCACCATCTGCTTCTGTCCAATTATCTCTTCTTTGTGCAGTTACAGTACCTGCAAACACTTTGGTGCAGTAGAGCACAAAGAACTACCGAGAGTCATCACAACTTTAATAATACTAACTTTACACCTGTCCACAACACCACAAAGACCTGTGTGTGAATCTGTATTCTATTGGGTGCTGAAAGTGGCAAGGGTTGGTATGTGTCAGAACTATGTGTTTCTGGGAAATTAGAGCCAGTGGACCAGATTTAGTAGAGAGCACTCTGTGTGTGTGTCAAAGACCATGCAAGCAGATGTTCAGGCACAACTCAGACCCTCTCCATCACATGCCCGAGTGTGCTTACTGCCAATTTTATGCACTTTCTGCTGAGTAAATTTACCTAGGGATCCATAGGCTGCACCTTTAGCCCAGATGCCTTATTACCATAATTACTTTTAAATGGCTCAAACTATGATGGAGAAACGTGCAGCACTAAAAACCACAATGTTTGGGACAATCTTTAAGTAGTGTGCTGTTGGACAAGCAGTCCAAATGTACATTTAAAAATTGTTTCCTAGTTTTGATTTTTGCTCACTGTTTTAGCTGACAATTTTTATTTTCTAAAAAAAAGGTATTGTCAGTCTGTCTCACTTTTTTCTGTTTACATCAGCTAAATGTTGCACTAACTTGAAGCATCAAGATCAAACTGTAATTAAACAAATTTTGTATTTTTTTCTGCACACTTTCTTACCTTTGAATTAACAGCATTTACCCATGATTGAACAAATTTCAATATCAGGACTAACAAAGAATGTATGTACTTTTCAGATTGTGCTTTTTGTTTCACCCATAAAGTGCTGGAAAACAAGTGATTGACAATTAATTTAGAATAGAATAGAATAGAATAGAATAGAATAGAATAGAATAGAATAGAATAGAATAGAATAGAATTGAAT